TTTAGATGTTCTTTCTGATAATGTTGACTGAGCCCTTTTTTCTTTGTTTTTCAGACAATATTGTTGTTGTTGGTGACTTTAATGCTCATCACTTTGAATGGCTTGGTCCTACAGGCTTGGTCAGGAAGCGGGAGCGAAATAGTCAAAAAAACTTTTTTTTTTAGTCATTTTTTTTACGCTGTAGCACATAAAAAAGGCCTCCAAAATAAAAATAGTCTCTCCTTGAAAAGTCCAACAAGGTTCTAATAAAACTAAGGCTAGTTTTATTTAAGATAAACTATAAATAAAAAAGTTAATTTTTTTAATAGCTATTTTATGCTTCATGTAGTTTGAGAATTTTAGAATATTTGAAACAATTCTTCTTAGTAAGATGAACAAATGAAATAATTAAATCATTGAGTTACTCTAGAAATAAAATTAACTGAACAGAAATCAACTAAAAAGGTTAAAAATACTTTATGAAGAGGAAGGGGAAATGCTTTACAATACCTCTTGACCTCTGGCGCAGTGCTGATCCACTTGTAAGTCACTTTATGTATGTAATTATGTTTTTGTTTTGAGTATGCTTTTGTTTCGTTCATATGTGTTTGTGTTCTGTCTCGACCTTTGGTGCGGTGCTGATCTACTCATATGTCACTTCATGTATGTAATTATGTTTGTGTTTTTTTGTTTATGCTTTTGTTTTGTTCATGTATGTTTGCGTTCTGTCTTGACCTCTGGTGCGGTGTTGATTCACTTATGTATGTAAGTATGCTTATCTTGTGAAACAATATTGTCTAATGTTGGATATAGCTCCTTAACTTGTATTTTTGCTAGGCTCTCTTCTTCTGGGATGTGTCATTACTGTTTGCCCACTACTATGTAGTTGTGCGCAACAATACAGTTTTCTAGTTTTATAACTAAGATTTAGTCCTATAAAATCATTACATTACTTAAGAGTCCTAAAGCACGAAACTATATTGTCTAATGTTACTCTCCAGTTTTTAATAAAAGGGGGATGGGAATTAAAGGGTGGGTGGAAATTTTAGTCCAGATCTAAAAAATGGAAGGGAATTTCTATCTGTATACAAAATTAATCGTAAAAATTGTTTTAACAGATTACATTAGAATAAAAAACAGATACACAAAATTATATTTACATAAAAAATATATACTTTTTAAATAAAAAATAAGAATATACTAATAAAATCTATAATATGTAATAAACTTTCAAAACGTTGACAGTTTAAAAAATATATATTTAAAACATTTATTTTTGTAAAGAAATGATAATGGTTTAAAAAATTTACGGCTTTGCAGATGTGGCTCCGAGAATGAGCCATAGTATTAAAATAATAGTTCGTTTGATAATGTGTTCTTAAAATAATTTATGCTAGAAATCTCAAAACTTAACAAATCTCGAATAATACAATTTTTGAAACATTTCAACAGAATACTCTAGAACTTTAATAGAACCAATAGAACTAGTTTGTTTATAGATTTGGCGGGTTTTTAGTGTTGGCGAATATTCTTTTTATTTTTCCGCACCAAGATGTTTTGAGAACATTTAAGTTTATGTATGTTTCCATGTATGTTTGTAAAACAAAAATTTTTTAAATTCACGTAAAAGAATTAACTTCATAATTGACAAACAGCAGACAAACATGGAAACATACATAAACTTAAATGTTCTCAAAACAATTAAAAATTCTGGCCAGTTTTTCACAAGTAAATATTATTTCCATTTTCAGTAATCGAGAGTGATTGCTCCCGCTTCCCGACCAAACCTGGTTCTAGTATCCATGACTCTGCAGGTGTTAAGGCCCACAACTTTTGCTTTGCTCTTTCCAATCGTAACTCTTACTTCTATATCTATCGCCAAAACAATTCACCAGAAAACAGACTTTTTTTTTTGCTATTGCTAAAAACTTTTGTAAAAAGGTCCTGTCTAATGCCAAAGTCTGCTATTATCATGTCACAAAATCTTGTTTTTCATCTCAAAGATTATGCTCCAGAGACTTCTGGAGAATTGTTAACAGTTTCTATAATAAGGGCAAATCTGTTTTTCCTCCTTTTGTGCATGCTTCAGATTTTGTTACCTCACCTAAAGGCAAAGTTGAATTTTTTGCTGAGAATTTTTTATCAGTCTTATCTCTTGATTCCACTAATCACATCCTACCTGATATAGCTGACAAACAGGTTAGTCCATTGCTTGACATTTAAATCACTCCAGCTTCTGTATTTAAAAAGATTTTTTTCTAGACCCTTCTACAGTTTGTGGTCCGCACAACATACCTGTTATAGTCTTACAGTTTGACATGCTGGTCCTCTTCATCTTCTTACTGTGTATCAGGTAACATCTTTAAGACTATTGAATCCTTCCTTACCAAACTTGTTATAAGTTGTCCTTGATGAACAGCTCTTTTCTTTACTTTCTGTAACTTCTGAGATTCCTTAAGGTTCTATCCTTGGACCTATATTTATTTTACTTTACATTAACAATTTCCTAGAAATTCTAACAACTAAGGTTTAATGATGATACTACCATTTATTCTTGTCTTGATAAGAAGCCAATACTCTCTGATTGCTTGGAGAGGACATTTGCGCTTGAAATAGATTTCACTTATGTTATAGGATGCGGCTCTCAGTGGCTGGTTAACTTTAACTCAGATAAAACTAAGTGTTATTATAACAGTCTAGATCTTCCTATATTTATGAACATTGATGTACTCTATGAGTCATCTACCCTTAATGTTTTAGGAATAATTCTTACTTCTGATCTCTCTTGGAAACAGTCAAATCTATTGCAAAATTAGCATTTGGTAAGATTGTTTCTCTTTATCGTGCACCTTTTTACTCAGGATACTATAATGGGCGTTGCCTCAAAAAGCTAGCTTCTCTTATGCCATTTTTTAAAATATTTTTCCTAGAACATCAGTTCTTTTAAACTATCTTGCTTTATAAAATTTTTATAAATCTTTTTCTTCCAATTTATTCCTGTAAAAAATGTGCATTTGACATATTTGCAACTTGTGGCTTATTTTTTTTCCGCATTTATATAATTACTGTGACTCCATGAAACATAGTGCAATCCTATAAATTCTAATAATCTTTTCCAATATATTTAATAATAGTTACAAAATATAACAAATCAGTAAAATTTATATTTTTAGAAAAATTAAATTTTTAACTTTTAGTGATTAAAATTTCTCTGTTCCATAACTGGTTCATTGTCAAACTTATTTTATTATTTATTTTTGGATGACATCAATAATGTTTATTATTCTACCTTTTCTAAAACTCTATATTAACTAAATATCTATATAGATAACATTTAAATAAAAGTAAATTGTATTGTAATGAGATAGATAATTGTATTGTAAAGAAATAATAGGTACATATTTCTGTGTGTGATTTTTTTAGTTACTCAGCATGATGTTTTTTATTTACTCAGCATGATATGTTTTTTAGTTACTCAGCATGTTTTTTAGTTACTCAGCATGATATGTTTTTTAGTTACTCAGCATGGTATGTTTTTTAGTTACTCAGCATGATGTTTTTTAGTTACTCAGCATGATATCTTTTTTAGTTACTCAGCATGATATGTTTTTATTTACTCAGCATATGTTTTTTAGTTTTTTAGTAATGTTTGGTAACCAGACGCGTAGACACTGACATTTTAAAAATTAGCATTAATGCTATTTTATAAACACATTTATAAAATAGCATTAATGTTTGAAATGCGAGGTTTGCTCTCTCTCTTGTCTCGAAATAAAATGTTAAATAGTGCTGTACCCAGTAATAATTTGGGTGGTACCGGTCACACGCACAAAAAAAGTCCTTTAGATAAAAGGTTCCTGGCCAATTTTAAGATAAATAGATCCTTTAAATAAAAACCTCCCAGGCCAACCCAGCACCTACCTCCTCCTTTTGGTGAATTTAATTTCAGGACTAGTTATGAAGCAGTTTATTTACAGTAAATTAATAATTGTTACAAAAATGTTAACCGCATCTGTTTTAATTTGATTAAATAACTTTTCTTTTTAATAATAATCTTCAAATTAAATAGAGATTCAAAAATTAAAAAAATTAAATTTAACTTTGAAGGAATCTAAAATGGTTATGTGATACTTTTAAAGAAATAACTTTTTATTTATTTGCAAACTAATTTATTACACTAAAATGTTAAGTCCTAGTACTTTAGATTTAATATAATTAAATCATAGATTTAATTATGTTAAAGAACATAAAATATAATTATTTAATTCCAGACAAATATGCAAAAATATAACGAAAAAATAAATTGTGATAAAATAAACAAAAGATTATTATGTTATGTATAAAATATTTTTAGTAAATAAAAAATAAATATTTTTTTTCAAATAACTAATTTAGATTTTATTAAAAGTTTTTGTTATAGTTAGTGTTTAAAACTTAACGTTGTGTAAAATATTCTAACGAAACAATTTAATTTTTAACGGCATAAAAATCATTTTATTAAATTCACGTAAATAAAATTCCATGTAAAAACAATTCAATAGTTATAAAAAAAATAAGTAAGCAACATTAATAAGGTTTACACTGTAATTATAGTTATAAAAAGTAATGCGCAGCTAACAAAAATGACAATTTTTTTAATGTGTTAATAACTTTTATATAATGTTAGGCTTTACTAATATTGAAATTTATAACTTATTAAATTTTTTTTGGGTGCATTAGTTTGGGTGACCATATCGGTCAAACTGTATGGGATTAAGTCTAGGTACAACACTGTTAAAATAAGTTTATGAAGAATTATATAATATTATATATTAAAAAATACTTTTCTGGAATAAATCTATAAAAGTTTTTTCTGAAATTATAATCAAATTTAAATGTTTTAAAAAATATATTGAATCAAGTTTAAATGTTTCTGAAATTTTAATTAAATTTGAATAAATTTGGTTTAACAAAAAAATTATTTATTGTTGATTAAATTGTTTATATAAAAAAATTATTTGTTGTACTTTTTGTTGATTCAGGTGATTGATCGTCGTGTGCGAGAGCTATTTATTCATTCAGTTATTCTTCCACTTAACTCAAGTCCAGCACATTTAAAAAAACTTAATGTCAAGTAGTTATTTGCATTGTTATTATTATTAATTAAATAATTTGTTCGATGAGAATTTTCATAATTTTTAATTTTTGTATAGTTTTTATTTGTTAGATACATTTAATTTAATATTTAATTTTTTTTGCTTTTAATAAAGTTTTATTTATTGAATGATAAATTCAATAAATGGAACTTTATTAAAGTACTTCAATGTAAATTAGGGTGGTCCAAAATTATAAATTATTGAAATTCATTTCTCCACAAGGCTGCCTTTGTTCCTATTAATATTTGCAATATTGTAGCCAAATTTGAAGCAAATCTGATAATATTTAGGGGTTGCTATAAATTTTGACTTTTTGAACACTATGATAAAAAATCAAAAAATTTAAGTTTTCAATATTATTTAATATCAAATTTAAAAATTAAAGAAACTAACAATTTATATCAGGTAAATATGAATGCTTGCGAAGTATCTTATGAATATAGATCATCTGATCAATTTTCATTAAAGTATTTCAATGTTTCATAATTTTTAAACAAAAATGTAATATCAAGTAAGAATATTGTGAATATGTTGAAAAATGTATGTTTATTATTCAACAATTTTGTTATCTTTTGCCAACATGGCTGCCATGGATGAAGTAGGGTATAGCTGGCGATGATGTTGAACAAAACAAAGTAGAAACTGCTTTTGTTCTTCATCCTTTGTAATCGATTTGTTGTACTGTCCAATTAATGCAATTCCACGTTCTGCGCTGTCATTCTTTGGATTCTCTCTGCCAACTTCTGATATGATTCATTGTCTTTCCAATATTTACGATCTTTTGAAATGAAGTTTTTGGCCTCTATTCTACCTGTACTGCTCAACAACTCGAAAAAACTATAAGTTCTCATAGTCACAAATGTCTCTAATCTGTTGAAGTCGGTATTCTTGGAATCTACTCTCTTCAGTGCTAGAGTTGTTTAGGGCAGTTGGAGGTTAACTATCATGGCCCTCTTCACATCCAGACCAACCCGACTATCAAAAAATGCCAGATCTATAAGATGTTCTGAGAAGAACCAAAGAGCACCAACAGAGCCTCCCCCAAGGAAAACCAGACATAACCAAAGTAGATCAAGATAATCCTCTCTAGGTTGTTTTTCGTCGATGGCTTTGGTGTAGAATGCTACCATTTCCTTTCGAAGGACTTCCATATCTCCAATAAAGAGCTCATCTTTAGCTGGAGAGAATCTCGCCAACCTCAGGTCCCCCTGTTCTATTTGACATTGCTCAGCACATGGTGGCGGCAACCAATACTTAGTAATAAGCTATATAATAATAAGCTTATTATAAATAATAAGCTCACGACCAACTGCTTCCTCGATTAGAACACATGCTCCTTTCTCAAATTTTCCAATCATCTAAGATCTTAAGCATGCTGCTGCTTGTTCCACTCCTGTTCCTCTTCCAATTTTTGTAACCGCTAGCAATTTCTTCAAACCATTTCCAGTTACAATCACTGCAACGCGGTCCACAGTTTCTTTTGAACCAGTAATATCTGAAAGCAGTTTCCTATCCCAGTGTAGAAGCAACGGAAATTCAATGGAAAAGTTGTCTTTGTCATTCTGAGTAATCTGTTTATGAGTAGACATTCGAGATCTCCTGGTTGTACTTCGAGACAGACTTAAGTCTGCAAGAGGATGCCCTAGGGCTTTAGCCACTGAAGCAACAACAAACATAGCTTTGCGATCTGGAAGGTTAACTCTGTCCAAAGCTCCAGCAACTTCTGGGCTTGACACAATACTTTTCAGATGCTTTGGCTTTGGTGTAGAAAAAACAAATTGCAATGCAGAAGACAGAATCTCAAAACTCAGATCATCATCGCTGTCTTGACTGTCTTTTGAGCTGCTGATCTTGGCTGAGACAAGACCACTGGAGTATTGCTGTTTTGAAAACCTTGCATCAAATGCTTGATCTCGAGCTCTCTTTTTGGCTTCCTTTGCCAGTAGGTTCATATCAACTCCGGCCATGCTGCAGCTGGTAACATCTTCTCGCTGCATTGCAAGAAATTGCCTATTTTCAGCAATGGTTATTGTCTCCATTGCATTTTTAGTTGCCATGTCAAAAAGCTCATAAGGTGTGTCCTTGAACATCTGTTCTTTAATTCTACAGCTTTCCAGGTCTGTAGCTCGATTCTTTTTTAGAAGCTGATAGGAAACGTATAATTTCTGAAGTTTTCTTTCACCAGAATCAATTCTTTGTGTTGGGATTCTTGCCTTATTCCACACAACAATCAGCTCTTGAATTGTATGATGAATGCTCTCCTTTATTGTGAGATGCTCTTACAGATGATGAAAAAGGAGACACTGGAGGACATTTCCATTTGTTTCTAATCTTGATGATGAGAGCTGCTTAGATGCCTTCCCAATGAGCCATACCTCTGCAGAGCTTCTTGTAGTAACTGCCATAAGTGGTGATGAATCTGTTGATATAAGAATGTTAGGTATAAGAAAATGAAAATATTTGTTACCAGAATAAAAAAAATAATCATTATAAATTGTTTATTGAAATACTGCAGACATGTGCCTATTACAAATTGGGCACCAAATTATAAACAACTAAAAAATATTAGATATATAAGTGAATTCATATAGCATCTGCTTTTCAGCAAGCATTAATTTATTTACCAGTGTTGAGATAGATGTTCAATTATGCAAAAATTACACAAAAATTTAAATAAATTCTTAAAAATTGAGTATTGTAAAAAAAATTATGAAATCATAGCAACCTCTAAAACTGTTCAAGTTGGTCCAATTTTTTGTATGGTTATTCTCTAAGCACAGTCAAACAAAATTAGGCTTGTGGAGAGAATGTAGACATATTTTGAATTTTTACCACACAAATCTGGACCACCCTAATGTAAATGGAAAATATTTAGAGTAGGTAATAGGTTATAAAACATATAAAAGAAATTATGATGACGTATTTGCTGAATGGAATGATGTCTTAATACCTTGAAGATCAGTGTTTAGGCTGTTTTAATATATTCATTAAAAATTTGCCTTATAACATTGTAAGTATCACAACACTTATAACATTGTGAATATTACAAAACTTTATGCTGTTTATATTGCTATACTAATTTAATGTCAAGAAAAAATACAAAAATTTAGGTCTGCTTTCTGATATATTTTTAGTATAGTAGCAAAAATGTTTAGTTTCATTAAAGATTGACTAATATTGAGTAATAATATATCATACAAATAATCCAAATCACTCCTGTATAATTGACAGAAAAACTTTTTTTTTTAAGAAAGATATGAGTAAAATGTTCTAATGATCCAAAATGGAACCATTAAACTATAACATCTACATTAGCTTGAATTTTTGAAGAATTGAGAATAAAGATTTGATAACCCATTTTTCTAATTAATAATTTTTCTTATTTGTTAAATATGTGTATATATATTTAATGCACATATATTTGTTTAATGATAATAATAGCAATGATAAATAATGATGATAAAGCTCTATGTAATCTATTAGGTAAATGCTCTATGTAATCTATTAGGTAAATGCTCTATGCAATCCATTAGGTAAATGCTCTATGTAATCCATTAGGTAAATGCTCTATGTAATCCATTAGGTAAATGCTCTATGTAATTCATTAGGTAAATGCTCTATGTAATTCATTAGGTAAATGCTCTATGTAATCCATTAGGTAAATGCTCTATGTAATCCATTAGGTAAATGCTCTATGTAATCCATTAGGTAAATACTCTATGTAATCGATTGTTTCATGACTGAATCCATTTCTGCAATCTGTCATGAACATTATTTGTATCTTGGACACTTAGGCAATTTGTTTAATTGATTGATAATGAAATAGGAGTTGCAGAAAAACTATAGTTCTTTAAAAGCCGTTTTCTAAAAAAATCAGGCAATGTTCAAAAGTGACATCCTTCAATCACGCTCAATTTTTTATATAGTAATGCTAAAAGGATAAAAAAAAGCCCTGTAAATTTTTTTAAATATTATTTGTAGTTTTTGAGTTATGGTTTGGGATTTTGTGATTTTTAAATTAAATTTAAAGGCAACAATACAATTGTATCCTAAGTTTCTTTTTATATTAAAAAACTATATAGAGATTTTTTGAAGAAAATTTCAAAAAAACTGAGAAAAATCTTTTCTTAGTCTAAAAATCATAAGCTGAAATCATACATTTTTGAATTTGGGGCCTACTTTAAATACATTTATCTCAAAACATAAAAGGTTCCTTCTGGGTATTTTATCGTTTTGGTTTAGAAAAAAATTGAGGGGGTATTACTTACAAAAATACTTATGAGTCATCAAACCGTCAAAAAATATTTTAAGTAGCGTTCATAAATCAACCATTATGAGAAATGAGAAAAATTGAAGATTGAATGTATATATTTTCTATAACTCCATAATACTTATAATTCAAAAAAAACTTGGTGGGTAATATCACATTGCTGAAATAACTTCACTACAAAAAGTTAAACTTTTTGTATATTAAAAATAAACACAGCAAAATTACTCAATAAGTTATTTGTCTTTATCTTATATATATGATTGTTTGAGTCAGTGATATAAATAAGATTTTTAATACTTTAGAAAATACACTTTCAAGCATTATGCAAACTCCAAACTTAAGTATATTCATACTTATGTCAAATAAGAATGCTTTACAATTAATTGTGTTAGGTGGTATTGCATTATTTAAATAACGTTATGTCAAAGTGATGCTAAATCTGATTTTTTTTTAAATGTATATGATTGTAGATATATAAACATTTATTATGCATATATAATTATATATGCTCAATAAACCAAATGTTTATTGAACATATATAATTATTTTTAGACATTACTTCTTTATTTATAGTTATTCAGTTTGGTTTATTGAGCATTTTGCTAATTTCTTCTGACTTATTCAGAACAGAGTACTCTGTTTTAATGCTTATGTTGGATTGAGCTCGGGTGCAGACACTGGACCGCCATTTTTTTTTTACAAAATTGC